GTTCATACCGGTAGTATGACCATGTCAAAGGATGACTATATGTCCCACAGTATTAATATCTACTGCAAAAATCCTCTTCAGTATATGACCCAATTTCACTCCCATCAGCAGCATATCAGCATGTCTATCACACAAATCTGATTTTACTGCATGAAAATTAATCCATGATTAATTCATAGATACATTGCTGTACTGAGTTATAATCACTCTTACGGTTCCTTTTCAACTAACTAGACTATGGCATTCCAGTAGGCTGAGTTTGTATTTTTATAACTTCATATGTAAAACATTTATTCTGCATTTTTTTTTAAAATTAAATGTCTTCTATGTCTTGTTCCTGGACAACCAGCTTTAAGGGAACATACATTTTAGTGGAGACAAAAAATAAAAGTAAAATTACAATCACCCGTACTAAACACTATGGTCACAAGTGGAGCAGGGAACAATTATGGGGGTGCGGATAAAGTTTACTGTTCTTTATGGGTGGTGAGGAGAGGCCTCGCTGATGAGGTGGCACTGGAACAGGCATTTGAAGAAGCATGCTGTGGAGTTACCGAAGGGAAGGGTATTCAGGGAGTACAGAGGAGCTGGTTCAGAGGTTGCTTGGGATGTCTGAAAAACAGTATGGAGACTACGCTGGCCAGAACACAGAGGAAGTAGGAAAGGGGCAGAGCAGGCCCTGTGAGCCTTGCTGAGCTTTGTTATTCTGTGACCAGACGCTACAGGAAACGTGAGGAATGCCATGCTTGGATGTGTTTTCAAAAGACTGTGATCCACTGTGCTTAAAACAAAGTGTGACTAGAATTAAGGCAGGAAAGCACCTAAGAGAATATTATGATAATTCAGGCAAGAAATTATGACTGATTTTAAGAAAACAGAAATGACAAATGGAATCTGAATGTATTTTGGAGGCAGAGCTAGTGAATTCTGCTAAGGTGTTGACAGTCAGTTGCATGAGAAATGGGAGCATGAATCCAAGATTTTGGATAAATGAAAGAATGAAAATGCCATTTACTAGGAAGAAAAATACTCAAGAGGAGGTTAAGTCCTGGGAGATACCTCAGTAGAATATGCACTTGCCTGGCAAGTGCAAAGGCCTGAGTTCCATCCCTGGTTCTGCCAAAACAAAACAAAAAACAAAACAAACAAAAGAGGTGTCTTGGAATAGGGGGCCAGGAAACGGGGAATTGTACTTTAGGCTATGTTGAGTGACACAGAAATCATCTGCCACATCATTCTGATGTTCAGATTGCAGTGTGCATGGGTTTGTTGTCTACTCCATGTGTCTTTCAGGTATATGGGCTAAAAAGAACAGCCTCTGTTGCTACCTTTAAGACAGCTTTGAAGTAATACTTAAATATATTGCCAGTCATGGTGCTGCATATCTGCAATCCCAGTAATCTAGGAAGCTGAGGTAAAAGACACAAGCCCAGTCAGGACCACTGAGCAATTTAGTGAGACTCTGCCTCAAAATAAAAAAGGGGCTAGGAATGTAGCTCAGAGCAAAGGCTAGTTTCAATCCCCAGTACTAATAAACAAAGAAAGTAAATAAATTTCAGAAGTGACAGGCAACTTGCATTCACCCTCAGTGTTCCACTCCCTGCCTCACTTCCACCCAATGAGCAGTTAAATTCTGGTTCAAATGCCTTGTTTTTTTTCTTCCGGAACTGGGGATTGAACTCGGGCCCTTGCGCTTACTAGGGAAGCGCTTATTCTACTGAGCCATCTCCCCAGCCCCACTGAGCCATCTCCCCAGCCCCTCAAATACCTTGTTGAAGGGCAGCCATACTAGAGCTGTCCCTACTCAACTGCAGACACAAACTACTATATCTTAGTTTGATCACACAAAAACGTGAAAAGCAGTACCTACTTCCTTGGCTCTTCATGGGGAAAAAATAAGTGAACACACATAAAACAGTACCTATACTAAGAGCTCAAATAATCCTGGTGATGCCTACCATAATATAAACAATATGCTTCTATTTAAAACTTCTATAAGCCTAACACAAATTATTTTATATTTGGCTGTGTAAAGTGTCAACTACATTGCTTCTATTGCTATAGGTTTTGAATTTGGAGAGGGAGCTATACATTCCCAAAATAACAAATTATTTTGAATAATTATTTTGGTTTAGTTTCTCCTTAAAACAAAGTTGGAATTCCTAAGGAATTATAGTAGTCCCTTGCTATTTCACGGTTCAACTTTTATGGACTGTTTTGTGGGTTTTCAAAAAACATTAATCTGAATTATTTATTGCAGATTTTTCACTACATTGCGGGATTTCACAGTACCATACAGTATTCATATGTTGTTAAAATTATGTAGGTTTGTGAGTTTAGAAAATGGCTAAGAACATTAGAATTGTTTTCAAACATGTGGGAAAGGTTTGTAAGAGTGTGGGAAGGTCTTATAAAACCTTGAAGTATATAAAAATACTAAAATAAATATAACATCACTACTTTGCTGAATTTCACTTACCACGGGGATGTCTGGAATATAACCTCTGCAAAAAATGAGGAACCACTCTAGTATAAAATTCAAATTGAATTGACTAGAGGCTGATTCTAGTACTGTAGTCTTCGGTGTTTTTGTCTAAACATACTATACAGACACCAAGAATAGCTCTGTGGGCTCAGTGGCAGAGCATATGCTTAGCATGCATAAGGCCTGGGGTTAAATCCCCAGTATACCATGCCATGCACACACATCTAATTAAAATATTTACACATCTAATTTTGTTAAATTGTACAAAAATACTTATCAATACAGCATATATCTTTTTGGATTTGTGTTTACCAAACACACATCCTAATAATACATTAATAATTATAGTTTGGTTTCACAAAACCAGGGAGAAAACCTTGCAAACTAAAAAGCATACTAAATGAGTAAGAAATTCTGCTGAAAAATCAACATACATTTTTTAAAAGTAAAATGTATTATGTAAGAGTTTTGTTATCAGCACATAAGATATTATGTGGCATGAATCAAACCCCACCCATTCATTCATGGGGAAAGCCCCAATTAAGCAAGTGGCTCTTATTTACCTAGGTTTCCTAAGGAAAGGCATCCTGAGGAACGAGAGTCATGGTAACGTAACAGGGAAACCAGCCAATTAATAGACTGTAATAGAAATAAAAATTTTCTTTCTCCATAGGAACAAGCTTAGGGATGCAAGTAAAAGATGTAAATATAAAGGCTGCCAGACCAAACTTCTATATAAATATCTTCCAAAATTCTATTTAGAGGTAGGGATAAAGGATTTAGGGGAGACAATCTTTGAATCAACATTTTACCTTCAATTCTATGCTTCACTGACTTTTGACAGTTTGGCAAATTGGGAGACATTACATTTAAAAGAAGTACTGCCAAATCTTGATAAATGAAATCTAAGAAGGTAATATAAATTCCAAATGTCTGGGCAATTTTCTGTAGTTGCCAGAATTCTACCTCAAAAAGTTATCAGATTTAAAATTTAAGCCTCTCTTTAGATGGTTTAATTTTAGCAACAGCATTATTCAAATTGAGATAATTATGGTAACACTGACATTTTATACCCCAAAATCAAGTCTTTTTATTATTCTGGGCAGTCTGGGCTGAATATGTGTATGTGCTGGGGGGAGGGGTACAAGGATTAATTTAGACAACTTTTCAGTCGAATCATAACTTATAGGTTCCTCATTAGAAGCCTACCCCTTACAAACTGGATGCTACTGGCCACCAAGATGTTCCATTTAAAAACAGGTCTCCACTTTTCATTCTCTCACTGCCATAGTATAAAAATATGTCACCTCATACTCACGATTCACTAGAGATCCATTCTCAATCAGAGGTATACTACTATACCTCTGACCGGTCCTCAGATGCTAGCTTGGGTAAAGCAGGGGTCACATACCCTTGTCTAGTCCTCCTTTTTTGTCCAGTACTAGTGCTTATTTTGTGATTATTTTCCAATGAAGACTATTTTTCTTGACAATATTCAAATTATATGCTTAAATACTATGTATGCCACAGAGCAAAACCTAAAGTAAGAAACATTAATTTAGAAAGAACAAAAACAAGAAATGGAAAACTAGGTATTATTTAAAGAGGCCCAAATTCCCCATTTTTAACATTTACATTTAACTGTAGTTCTAAGGGGGAAAAAAACCCAAAACCACAACAATGATCAAATTTCTAGATACATTGCCCTCTTCTATGTCATGTTTATATAAACCTTTAAAATATCACTGCAGAAAAGAAACAGAACGAAAAATCAGCCATATAAGTTTTCTATTATTAAGCATGGTATGAACTTCATCAAAATCAAATCCAAAGAAGAATTAGGAATTAGCTTTTTTAAGAGATTCTTAAAATATACAGCATTTGGAATAACTTTTAAATATTAACCTTGAGCATCTTTTTAAAAACAAGTTATTATTCCTGACTTGCTACATGAAATTTTTCAGAATAGTTTTATTTTACTAGGAGAAAAATGAGTGAAATTTGGAATATTGATATGTGTCAATAACGTGAAGTAACAAATGGCAGGTGGAAATGGGAAAGGGGAAAAAGAAAGTATAGAGGAAATTATAACGTAACCAATAAAACTGAGTAATTTGAATATACATATTATACATGCTAAGTGCTCTGCCACTGAGCTATATTCCCAGGTAACACTTTTCTATCTTAAAAATAAAACTGGAGGGCCGGCCAAACAGTGCAGCAGATTAAAGTGCAGGGGCTGGGAGTTTGATCCCCAGGTCTGCCTTGCTGGCCCACCCCCCAGGGCAGGCTGAAAGGGCAATTGAGACTGGGCATGGTGGCACACGCCTGTAATCCCTGCACTTGGGAGGCTGTAAACAGGCAGATCACTACAAATCCGATCTAGTAGTGAGAACTTGAACACCCTGCAGACCCTTCCCTAACATACAGAAAATAAATAAATAAATAAATAAAACTGGAATGTTATTTCATTTAAAATGCACAACATGAGATGCTAACAGTTAAAAAAAGTACACAATATATGTTCCCTTAACTTTCCAGCAAATGACAATTCTGGATCAAAAACTACCAGAACAAACCCTTTAATCAAACATTTATTTTTGTTTACAATATGACAATCTGTTATAATTCATGACAATCAGTTATAAAACTTACTCCAGCTCAGTAAGTTTCAAGACACTGACCTCGCATAGGAAGTTAGATCCGTATGTCAAGCACTCACCCAGCAAAGAGAGCAGCAGCCGCACTCACAGTGCTCCCTGCTACCTGGAGATCATAAAGTGCAAAGCTGTGTTTTGGAAAAGGACACTTTTTCACTACATTTTCAATTCTTGAATCACGCGTTTTTTTCACCTTGCTATCCCAGAGTCATCAGAAAGCTATTCACTTACATGTTATAGCAATATGCCAAATGCCCATTTGTAACTGCAAGAAATTCACAGACACACCATTAACTACAATCCTATACAAAGTCATGACACAAGTTTCAGTGTAAGAGATTTACTTCTCTCAAAGCAAATAACAACAACAACAAAAAAATCCCTACAGATCAGATTTACATAAGTAGTACCTTTTAAATAAATTAAAAATACAATGCTATTCTATCTGTAAAATTTTAAATATTTCTAGTCCATTTTACAGAATGTTAAAATGCTTATAAATGCATTAACTCCCAGTAATTAGACATTACGCTACTTAAGCCAGTTTATGAAGGGAGGAAGGGAAGGAAGAAGGAAAAGGAGAGGAGAAGAGAGAAAGAGAAGGGGTGGGGGGAGGGAGGAAGGAAAGTTAAGAGAGAATCAGCACACTGGCTTATGAAAATGTCCAGGATTATTTATCTCTTAGCATCAGAAAAATTGAAGCAAGGAAAAAAAAGTGAAAGAGAAATAAATTTTAGAAAATAACTATGATTTAAATGAGAAAACTGAAAGGTTTTCACTTAATTCAGTAACAAAGTCATTTCTGGAATGAACATTTTTGGCTGATAAAGGTAAGAGAGTGTAACTCGATGTTCAGGTCAAAACCACACAGTATACAGAAAATTTCCAAATTGTATCAAGAAAGAAAAACTTTGAAACAGTGACCATTTGAAAAAAATCACACAACAATATTCAGCCAGAATATTCAAGACTGTCAGATATTGATCGAGTAAAGTCTTTAGTAGAAATAAAATTTAAAGTTATAATCCCATGGATGCCACTTACCAATGCAAAGAAAAGAAACATGATTGCAATACATAATACAATGACAAGCTAGAATGAGAAATTATAAACAATTTAAGTAACCAAATGTTCCCAATTAAAGCACAGAAACATGATTAAAAGGGAGTAGTTCTAGTTCTGTGGCATGTTCAATTGCTCTTTACATAAAATATTAGCTCCATCTTGGAAAAAATAGCTTCTAAATGGTGCTGGCTCCTTCATGTTAGAAAGGAGGAGGCATGCTTTGTAGAGACCCAAGAAACTTGTCTCCAAGTCCCCACCAAGATGACTCACTTCATCAAGTCTAGAGTATCTCCAAATCTACATGCCGAACTTCAGGATTTCGTTTCTGGAAAGGAAAATCACCACATTATTCATAGCAAAGAAAACCTTTTCTTAAAATTCTTTTTATTAATGATGATACATCTAAGCTAGGTATAAACACAGTGAGTCTTCTAGATAGATGAAGGATGCTTAGAAAAACACCATGCGCAAAGGCAGAGAGGCCAAAAAGCACGCACTGGTCGTGTGGTATGTATAGTCAGCACAGAAGCCACAAAGAGGCAGGCTTAGTACAAGGCGAGAAAGACAGACCCAAACCAGGCTGGTAAAAATCTTTTATGCTAGGTTAAGAAACTTCATCTCAGCAGCCACAAACAGTATCTCCCCCTTCAAAAGACTCACTATAGTGAGGAGAGATACAGTAAGTAGGCAAGCAATTATAATACTCTGCTGCTATGGAGCAAAGTAAAGGTTTTGGGTTTTTCCCTCCTGTGAATACACAAAGAAGGACACTTAACTCAATTTTGGGAGAATTAAAAACTAGAATATCATGAGAATGGAGATAGACAGTAGTGCAGAAAAATACATAAGTTTACACTTGGTAAAAAGGAAGTAAATAATGTTAAATCAGGAGAAGCAATGTAAAACTTATATAAACATGTCACATGAAATAAAAAAAATGCTAAAAGTATTAAAAATAGTTATCTAGGGCCGAAGAGAGATCTCAGCAAACTAAGCGCCTGCTTTGGCAAGGGAAGGGACCAGGGTTCGATCCCCGGTCCCACATGCCCTGCTAGCCCCACCCCCAAGGTGCACTGAGCCAGTGACAGAGTCCAGGAATGGTAGCACACCCCTACAAGCCCATTGCTGGGGAGGCTGAAAATAGGAGGATTACTACGAGTGTGAGCTGCGTAGTGAGACCCTGTACCAAATACGGAAGTAGGAGAAAAAAAAAGTTAGCTAAGAGAGGCACAATTAAGGAATTAGGGAATATAATGAAATCAGTGATACCTGCTACAATCCTTAGTTGTTTCATTATACACTTTGTATATGAGTTGATAAAAGATTTAAAAACTAAGGGAGAACAGCTGTTATAATTAATCTTGAAATTAATCAGGATTAATAACTACTTCTAGCTTAAAAATAGTAACCTCGGACCATGTGCATATTACTTACATTACAGGAATTCAGTTCTAAAAGCAAAACTCTGGTATAATACTGAAGTTTTGCTTAAGTATAGCATTCTCTGAGTGATCACAGATTCTTCTCCTAGTCAGAGCTGCTGGAGTGTGCCTACCTAGTGGTCCAGACCCCCTAAGCACACTGTTGTTCTCAGGTTTATCTGAAATTACTTCTTATCTCTAGAATTCCTTAAATGCAATATGGAAAAACATTCTCCAAACAAAAACCTGTCCTATCCAAGCATGACTTGAAATATTTAACTGTTCACAAAAAATCTGGCATTTTTTCACCAAAAATACTAGTGAATGTGTACTAATGAAATCTCTCAACCTAAAAATTTACCATATTTTAAAAATCAACTTTCTAAGAGAAAAGCAATCAAGTTTATCGTATATGTATAATACAAGGCACATGTGTATGCGTAATACCAAGCACATACACATTTGTAGAATGAATAAAACAGGATTTAAATTTCTTAAAATGCAATGTTTACTGCTTTCGCATAATACAGACAAATCAGAAATAGGCATTGGTGATTTTTCAGACAAATCAATAACTTGTACGAACTTAATGCTAACTGCAGTTTTGCCCACTACAGAGATTTTATTCTATACTCATGCAGAGACAAAAACCAAATTATGTGTTTATTTTGCAAGGCTGAAGACTCAAGAAAATGTTATGCAGAGGATGCACTAGAGAAGCGAAGATAAAGAGCATAACATTGTAAGAAATTTGCTGTTATGGCAGCCTCCCTCTGAATTAATTTTCAGTACAATTATTTCATCTCTAACACAAAAAGCTTAACAAGGGGGAAAAAGGAAAGGAAATAGGAGAGGAAAAGGAGAAGAGGTAGGATAAAAAAGGTAACAGTTCGAATATCTTCAACATAGTAAGGTATTTTGTAATTTTGTAACTCCTATTATATATCAGAATTCATTAATTAGCCTGTTATTTTTTAGTATCTTTCACAGAATCGTGCAAATTCCAGAACCTTAAGCCAAAAAAATCTCACTTACTGTAATATGCAACAGTATTACTGCACAGAAATGCCCAATGGCCATACTGGCACAGAACTAGCTTTATACAGGAAAGTCACACGTGGAACTTCAGCAGTCCCCTCTGTCATGGACAGAAAGTCACTCAATGCTAATTACTACTTTTTTCAATAACATTATTTAGAAAACAACCAGGAGATATGAAATTAGGGAGTAACTAGTGCACAAAATTTCAGCGTTCAAAAGAAGATCTGCTTAGTTTCGTGACTAGGAAGAATATATTCATATATTCCCTTTGGTTTGGTACTTCAGCTATGTAACTTTCCTATGAATTAAGATTAATCAGGGGCCAAGGAGATGGCTCAGTAGAATAAGCACTTCCGTGGCAAGCGCAAGGGCCTGAGTTCAAATCCCCAGTTCCTGGGACCTACTCTTACTGAGGTTTTTCATGTCAAAAGAAATTACCAACAAAGTGAAAAGGCAACCCACAAATTTGGAATAAATCATGACAAATAAGTACTCATACAAAGGTCTGCTCTCTAGAATTTATAAAGAACTAAAAAATACTAGGGCCCTAAAATTTAAAGACCCAATCCAGAAATGGGCATCCAAGATGAACACACGCTTCTCAGAGGATGAAATTAAAAAAGCGAATAAATATATGAAAAACTGCTCCACATCACTAGCCATCCGTGAAATGCAAATTAAAACAACACTGAGATA